ACCTTCTAAAATTGCGTACACTAGTCAGCTGTTTTTGGTGCAACCGCGTCGCTGTTACGCGTGGGTGTGTTTGGCTGACATTTAGCAACACGCCCACGCGTGCACACAACAAAAAAACGTTTGTGTGCAACGTTTGGTGGTGATGGTGGTTACATGAGGACCAAAATATTTACGGTGCCGGATATATCAAAGGGAAAGACGTACAGTCCAACACTGAGGTGGGAGGGTAGATATGGAAATTGCTAGGAGTTTAGCTTGGCCAAATGCTAGCAATATTTGGAGGCTTTCTTGAAGAGCCCAGCCTGGCCAAATGTTTTTGTCTGTTCGTTCTGACCGCTTACGCGTGATAACTGTCCACGCTCGATGACCTTAACCTCTGGAGAGGACACAGACGCATGCGCGCCCACTGGTCGCAGTTATCCCAATGCATCCAATCAGACTACAGGCGTACGCGCGTAACAATAAGTTATAAGCCACTGTCACCCCTCAGCCAGGGAAGTTGAACACCGTACAGCGCGAACACTGCCCGTCCGGTCCCCATTGCCGGGGTCAGATTCGAGGCGGGACAAATAGCGCGCTGGAAATTAACCAGCGGCAACTGCCACCCGAGAGAGCAACTCAGAGTTTTGTACACAATATTACCACCTTCGGGTGGATACAACGGTTACGCCCTTCTTATTGCGTTCCTCATTGGGGATTCCAATGGGCGTAATTCGAAGGTAACACACGTCAGATGTCACCGTTACAACAGAAATGAGGGTGTATTAATACGTGACGTCAAAAGCACGACCAAAATAAAGAGTCGGCCAAACTGCTGCGATGCCTTCCTCCCACTCCCCTTTTGCCAGGCTACTGCAGGCTGTTTTGGTTTCTGCAGCTAGTGATGATAATGATGATGAGGATGATGATGATGATGGAAACAGGACTGCTGCTAAAGCATGACCTTTCAAGATCCCTAACGTGGTCCCTATTTTCTCCCGAAGTTGCTTCGTAAAGTGTCGTATGTGGTCATCGCAAATAAAGGAGCTAACATTCCGTGAGGAGATTTTTCGTTGTAACATTTTTTATCATCAATTTAGGAAGTTAAGAGACCTGTTTATTTAATTGGCTGAAAAACAGGTCCGTCTGTAACTACATCTCCTCACCAAAGCCACGTTTTTATTATATTTCGAGCTCGCTGAATTTGAGCGTTGTAGAAGAACATACATTTGGAAAGGGCGATGTTTTAGTCGCTTCCTTATAACTCTGTTCCAACAAAGCGTTGACATCACAATCATGCTTCGCACCCAACGGGGCCGGTATTTTAGTTGTTTCAGGTCCAAACAGAGTTCACGTATTTATGGTTTCTAGGATTCAGATTGATGTGAACGACGTTTACAACAGTTCGTCTGTCCACGAATGTTTTATTTAGAACGACTCAAACCATGCCTGGGATCTGCCTATGGCCGCTGAACTTTGATGATGGGTAAGTTTTGTCGACACTTGCGGAAATAAACCACTGTATTCACTAGTTGATTAAAGGGTCTTTACCTGATGACTACACAGGAAAAACTGTAAAAACCAGTGGACGGTAATTGAGTTAACGTGAAGTCTCTGGCAGATGACTGTTTCCTATTGGTACTGATAGTCGCTTTACCTTAGTCCTCACATTTAGATCAGTTCATCCCAGTCAATATTTGATTTATGCTTTTGTGTAAAAACATGTACTCAGTCCTTTTTAGACCTCCGAAAATGCGATAAACATGACAGATAAGATGCGTGCTTGGCCTAGAGGAAGATGTAATCCGTAAATTAGATAAGGATGCTGCGGTATCCCTTTGCGGACTGAGTAAAAGGCAATGGACCACTACGGTTTTCAATGTTTTTCCTCACATTTTCCGGACGCTTATAACAAAAGTGGCACCAGGCAAAACGATTGAGGAAAATATGCCAATGTATGGGGGTCACAGTCGAAATTTATACATTAACCACGTTTCTGACCATATGGCACTGCCGTCACTATGATCCAAAGAAATAAAAATGATTACCGATTAACTCTGTTATGCCTCACCCAGATCTTAAGTACTGCATGAATATACAACTGCTAAAATTGGAATGGTTTATTTATAAGGGCTTGAGAGCATCAAATTACGTAGGAAAAGTGTCATACATGACATATTCCTATATCTGTTTGTTCCTTGGGGGGTCAAAAATGACAGTCATGGTTAAATTTTCGTTATTTTCCCTCTCGCCGCCCTTCTTAGACCGAAATGCTGTCTTACGTCTCAGGATAAACTAATGAATTTGAAGTCTGTAAGAAAATATTTACTAAAATCACGAATTGCAAACCTGTCGTTGTCTCAGGCGGGAGATTTCAGCAGTGATGTTCACTGACAACTTGGAGTAAGATACTTTATTCTCTGTCCGTACGTTAGTCGAACGTTTTTGAACGTACAACAAGATCCTGTATGTTATATCTGTGTCATCTAGGCCTGCTAGAGCATGATTGGTGGTGAGGCTTCGTTAAAATCTCATTTATTCTCGAATTTAATCGCTGTCGTTAACTGTGTGCCCACTTGTGTTAGTTCAGCGTCGAACAGAAGGTGCTCACCGCAAACACTACCATCCCCAGACGGCCGCCATCCCACTATCTGTACAACTCGTTGGTTGTTTTCGGACATAATTATACAGGGTGTCTCAAAAAATGTTAATGCATTTTAAATAATTGTAACCTTGGTGCTTATTTCAATTTTATTATCTCAAAAATACAAAAATATTTACATGTTGCATTTTATTGTTTCTTCAATGCATGTTTTTGTTACGTGGTCATTGGAAAACTTATATCCCAAGATTAGTCCATGTTGTTAATGAGGATGATCAACACCGAAGAGTAAAGTAATGTGAGTGATATATAGAACAATGTCTGGATCAAAATGGACGTCAGTTTGAGAACATAGAATGAAAAAAAACAAGAAGATGATACTTGTACATAATTTTACATTTTCAAAACAATGAAATTATAATAAACATAAAAAGTGTACACATTCTTGGGACACCCTGTACATTGCAAACGCCAATGTCCCGCTGGTATTTCAGCCGGAAATAGACCGCCTTCATTTAGAAATCGTAGAAGTCCTGTTTTCGTTGTTTATTGCCTACATTTTCTCTTTTTCTTCCAGTGCGACGCTCTTGAAACTGCATGGCGACTCGCTAACCCTCCTCGATTCCTACACTGTTCCATCGCAGTCGAAGGAGAATTTCTACTGCAATCCATCGGTAGGTTGAGAATTCGACTTATTCTTATATACTACCGCAGGAACTTATCGGCAGTTGTTTTCAAGTTTTGTAGGAAATTTTACTTACAGACCTCATCGAAAACATTAATATATGCAGTATGAGCAGATACTACCAAGTGGTCCCTACAACTGTCAACTTTTTGCATTTTGAATACCGTACTTATGTGGGGGTGATCGCGCATAGTAGGCGTTGGAGTAAAACTCAATGACATGTTCGCCGAAAATCGCGGACAGGCCATCCGTGGATAAGGCGGAGACAAAGAGGTGGGAGAACTTAAAGTCGGCAGTATTATACAGTTCCGATTTTGAAACATTTGAAACTATCACGATGTCTTTACGTTGTGATTTAAATAGTTACGAACTGAGCAAATAACTTGGTCCCGCTATAGAACAAGGATTAAACGGTGGAGGCGCCTTCTAAATGTGGCCTTTCCGGACTCTCGTCTCTGT